AGTTTCTGGGGGGCTTGAGGGGCTGTGGACAATTCTCTACCCGCTTCTCAGGGCAGCTGCCAATGTGGAGGGGGCCGTGCTCTCAGAGTGTATCCATGCAGGGGGCTGGGGTTCCCGTTGCGGCTGCTCCCAGGAAATGGACCCATGGGGGCAGGGCAGGGCGGACGCGTGAGGGGCTGATAGTGGGCGCTGCTGCAGGAGAGCTGGGCCCGAGGCCTGCTTGAGGAGAGCAGCAGGGAAAGGGACAGGTGGGGCAGAAGGTGGGCTTGGGGGCAGAAGGCTTATGGGTCCAGGGTGGGAGTCAGGAGAGCTGAGCTGGCTGGGTGAGCTCCTCGGGGCAGTGCCCAGCACTGGGAGGGGTGGGGGGGCACCTCATTCAGAGCCACTACTGCACCAGGACAAGGGGCTGAGCTAGAATTTGGGGGGCGGGGAGCAAATGGGCAGGAGTGGGGGAGGGGAGGCAGCAGACTGCAAAGGGAGGGGGGAAAGCGGGGGAGGGAATGAAGGGTGGGGGGCACTGCAGAGATTCTCTCAGCCTGACACTAATTTTTGAAACCTCCCTTAATTATTTAGCGCTGGCTGCCCCCGGGGAGGGCGAGGGGGAGGTCAGTGGGTTGTGAACTCTGGGTGAACCTGAGCTACTGAATTTGTGTAATTGTGTCACACACACCCATGGGGGAGGGGGGAAAGAGCTGGCACATTTAAAGGGAACGTGTCCCTTTGGCGGGCAGGTAGGATGGGCTGGCGTGCGGGGGGGGGTGTTTGGGCCCATGTGCAATGCTCAGGCCAGTCTCCATGCGTGGGGGGCCACGTCTAGGGCCCCTGAGGCTCAGGAGAGGGGCCAAGGGCGAACTCAGCCCCCTCCCCACCCCACACACTCACCAGAGGACGGACCACACCTGAGCACTGGGCCTGGCACCCTCTGACCCTCAGCCTGCACTTTGCATCCCTGCATTAAAGTCTGGTGGTTACAGCACAGAACTGGGAGCTGGGACGCCTGGGTTCCATCCCCAGCACTGGGAGAGGAGTGGGTGCTAGTGGGGGGGGGGTGGAGCTGGGAGCCAGGAGGCCTGGGTTCTATCCCTAGCTGTGACTTGCTGTGTGCTTTGGGGTAAGCGGGTAAGCAGCTATTCCTGCTGGCGCGGGGGTCCATGATGGGGAGTCAGGGACATGGGGCTCTGTGTGTGGCAAGGGCGGGGCTGGGCACGGCCCATGCCAGGCGAGGGTACCCTAGGCTGGGAAAAGGGGGAGCTCTGGGGCAGGAAACCCCCCGCCCCGTCGCGCGCGGCTCCCGATGCAGCATGGGGGGCGGAGGCGGGGCCGGGGCGGTTCGGGGGCGGGGCCGGCGGGTTACAAAGACGCTGGCCCCAGCACCCCAGAGCAGTGCGGATTCCCGGACTCCAGGAGCCGTCCCGCGTACGGGACGGGTCGGGTCGGGTCGGGTCGGGGTCCCAGCGGCGGCTTGGCGGTGTCGCTTCGCGCCCGGACCAGCTCGTGAGTTGCAGTCCCCGGCCCCACCCCGGCTCCGAGGGGAGTCCCCGGTCCAGTTCCAAGCTGCCGCCTCCCCTGGGCTGGGATCCTGCTCGGACGGAGCGAAAGACACCCAGGGCAGCTGGGGAAACTGAGGCAGGGGCAGCTGGAAGCGGGGGCGCCGCAGTGTGAGCGGCCCGGGCGACTGGACCCGAACACGTGTTCGCAGGTGGCGTGTCCCCAAGACAGCGCCGGGACATCCCGGGGGGAGCCCCCGTGTGACAACCCGCTCGGGAACTGGGGGAGGCCGTGGGGCAGGGAGGGACGGATATGGGGGGCTGTAACCCAATTGGGGTTGCTCCGGGGGGTCTGGCTCAGGCTGCCCGGGGCAGGCGGTGTTAGGTCACCTGCCCCCCCTCCACTTGACCCCTCCCTGTGGCCGGGATCGCCCCGGGCCTGGGCAGGTGTTTTTAACCCTTGCCTCGCCTGGCGGGCTGGGGGGGGAGTGTCAGGGTAGTGGGGGGCGGGGGGAGGCTGGTGTTGCTGGGGCCGATCGCCGCATCTCTTTAAACCACCGAGGGGGCTAGACCCATAGACTCGACCCCACTCCCAGCACAAGCCGGGGCCGTATCGCTCCACCAGCGCCATGGGGGATTTCTGCCCCTGGCTCCCAGCCCGTATGGGAACTCTTTCCCCCCCCCCCCCCCCGCAGGTGAGAGACCTGCCGGCTCCCTGTCTGGCACCTCGCCCCCTGCTCACCCCCCACGTGGGGGCACCTTCCCCGGGAGAGCGGCGCCAGGCTGGCGGGGCCGGAGCAGGAGCAAGGGGGAGGGCAGGCCCCGGTCCAGCTGCCCTCTGGGGGAGGCAGATAGGGCCCGGGTACTTGGTACGGGGCTGTCCCGGGCTGGGTCCCTGGTATGACGCCAGCCGAGGTCATGGGCACTGGGTGCCCCCCCAGGAAAGAGGCGCTGGGGCTCGAGCCGGGCCCGGGGTGCCCGGGCTAGGAACTGCCGGGACCAGGGGTGCCAGGCTCGGCCCAGACACGCCAGGGCACAAATTGAGCCCTGGTGCTCCCTCCCCAGTCCTCGGCGGGCAGTTGGACCCCCGGCTGGGTCCCTGGGGCGCTGCAGCTACGTGGGGCCCCGCGGGCTGGGGCTCAATCTCCCCCATCCCCATAGTGAGGCGTTCGTCCCTTTAAACGCCCTCCGCGACCGCAGTGACAGTCTGCGCCGGCCGCCTGGTTCCCCCTAATTAGCAGCATCCGCCAGGAAGAGGGGATCGTCCCGCGGGGCCCGCCTCACTAGAGCAAGACACGTCACCGAGCCAAACAGCGTCCCCCCGAGAGACGGGCAGGCCCAGCCCCCGGCCCTGCCCCTCCCGGGCGGGCGTCACTAGCCCCAGGGGGAGCTGAGAGGGGAGCCCCAGCCAAGACCGTGCAGTCCCTTAACTGCAGAGCCGGGGAGAGAACCCAGGAGTCCTGGTTCCTCTTCCCCTCCCAGAGCCGGGGCGATCACAGTGGTTGGGTCTGTGCCCGCGGCGGATGCCGGGTCTGTCCGGGCCCGGCTGTGACGGGGACTGGGCCGTTCCCAGCAGGGTACCCGCTGACCCCTGGCCCAGCCAGGCTCCCCGAGCCGGGGAACGCGCCCCCCTCCCGGCCGGCAGCTGGGGGCCTCCCCCGCAGCCCAGGGCGCTGAGAGCGGCACCGCCAGCCTCGATTTCCCCTCGGCCTGGGGAGCGGAGTTTGCTGGGTCTCAGCAGCCCCCGCTCCCCCGCGCGGTGTCCATAGCGACACACCTGTCCCCCCCCTTCCCCCCCGGCCGGGACACGGGGCTCGACGCTCGGTGACGCCAGCCGGGCTCCCCGGGGCTTGGTTAGGGCGTCAGGCGGGCGGGGGAAGTGCGTCGCCGAGGATCCCTCGTGGCCCGGAGCAGCAGCACCTGTGGGGCGGGGCTGGCTGGGCACCTGGGGGTGTTTGTGTCTGGGGGCGGGGGGGCTGATCGCTGCACGCGGGGTGGGAAGAACCCCCCGCACATTGGCGCGGGGGGGGTGTCACTGCGGGTTTAAACTGGTGTAAATGGGGGAGTCTGGAACGTGGAGTCTTTAAATGCAGCTTGGAGGAGCCGCGTGACCCCGCCGGAGGCTCTGGGGGACGGGGGGGCTGGGCCTGTGGGGAGTACATGGCTGACGCGGTGGGGCTGGTGCGCTCTGCGGGGCCCTGCATGCCAGGAGATACCTGCCTCGGGGGCTGTTATTTCATCCCGGTGGGTCCTGCTCCATCCCTGGGCTGCTCCTGCTGGGGATGGGGGAAGCCGTGTTAGTCTGAATCCACAAGAACAACGAGGAGTCCGGTCGCACCTTAAAGACTAACTGATTTCTTTGGGTATCAGCTTTGGTGAGCTAACACCCACTTCTTCAGCTGCATGGAGTGAAAATGACAGATACCGGCACAGACATACTGACACACGGAGAGGAGGGAGAACCAGTGATGACAAGACCAATGCAGCCAGGGCTGATGTGGGCCACTCCCAGTAATTGAGGAGGCATCAATACCAGGAGAGGGAATTTAACACCCTCACTACAATTACTGGGAGTGGATCAAATCCACCCTGGCTGTATTGGCCTTGTCAACACTGGCTCTCCCTCCTCTCCCTGTGTCAGTATGTCTGTGTCTGCACCTGTAATTTTCACTCCATGCAGCTGATGAAGTGGGTTTTAGTCCACAAAAGCTGATACCCAAAGAAATCGGTTAGTCGTTAAAGTGTGACCGGACTCCTGTGCCATTGTTTTTGTACCAGGGCTGGGTGCTGGGACATGTTTTCCGAAGCCCCTGGGGGAGATCCCAGTGGGGTCCCGACCCAGGGAAGATTTTCCATGGGACCAAGGCTCTCCCCTTGCTCAGCTGGTAGGCCAGTGCCCTCCTGCACCAGGACAGCAGCAATGCAGTTCAAAGCTCTGCCCCCACTGCCAGCCCGCTGCCCTGAGGTTAGTCCCTCTGCTGGAGTGGGGAAAGGGAGGCAGAGAGGGAACGGGACCTGCGGGGGGTTGCAGTGTGAGTCAGTGGCAGAGGTGAGAACAGAACCCAGGTCCCTCGAGGCCCGTGTCACCTAATCTCCTAGCTCTGGGCTCAGCTTGTCCAGAACCCAGGGGGACTGGTCTCTACTGGCCCCTTGTCAGGGCTGCTCCGTGGGCCGGGAACAGGAGGGCACAATTCTTCATGCCCACACGTCTGTGTCTGTGTCTGCCCACACCTGCCTCTGCTCAGCCAGTGCAGCCCAGCCCCCCCCCATGCAGTCACAGCTTGTGCCATCTCCTACCTGCCCTGCCTATGGACAAGGGCCCAAGGCACAGGCCTTCCAGCCAGGGATGGGGGAACAACCTGGGGGTGAGGGCTGCCGAATCCCGCAGCGAATGGCAGGTAGTTTCCAGAGCCTGGGAACCTGTCTGCACAGCAGCAACTTTCCAGGGCTGGAGTGAAAGTCCCCTGAGCTCAGGAGTGGGGCCCTTCCGTCACAGCTCCCCCATACATGAATGGTTGGCACTGCAATGCTATCAGTGGCCACTAGAGGGCAGGCATTGGCCCACAGTGTCCTTCATGGGGCGAGGAGCAGCTGGGTTGGGGGCTCTGGCCTGGGCCCCAGGCCAGCCCAGCCCAGCTGATCAGCAGGGGCTGGGGAGCAGGGCCCAGTAGCAGAATGGAAATCCCCCCGCTCAGCTCCTTCTCACGCCCCTGCCCAGGATGGGCACCTGGGGACCATGAGGGGCACCTGGGGACCATGAGAGACCATGGAGCCCGCCCCATCGCACTGGCCCCCCTGGTCTGAGCTGCTCCAGCTGACACCCCATTTCTCCCCTTCCTCCAACAGGTGGCCACCAGCCCGGGGCTGCTCAGGCATTGAGGAGCCGGATACTCGAACAAGGGGCCCAAGAGAGAGCGGCGGCAGGAAGCCGACCGGGGCCATAGCGCTCCGCTGCCCCTCTGAGCGGAGACTGTGCCAGGGAAGGGGCTCTGCCAGCCAGGATCAGGGTGGGACCCTACTGGGGGCAAGGGAGGGGAGCCCCTGGAGTTAACCCTGCTCATGGAAGGGAGTTGGGTGTGAGCTGAGCAGCCTTTAGTTTACGCAGCAGACCCCCAGCTCCTACCAAGAGCCCAGTCTACTTGTGCTCATCTATCCCGGGCAAGGGCAGCCATGGCCTGTTGGTGGGCTGGCTGGCTGCTCCTGCTGGTGGAGGCTTGGGGGTCCCACCTGGCGCAGGGGATATT